AGCTTCCTCTACAGAAGGTGTGACACATAACCTTTTGTTTGCATTGTCCGGTATGGTTCCATCAGGTGTTTCCCGGTTGGCTTCAAACTCGGTCCAACGTGGACGGAATGGGGATCATCAGGATTCGCTAACTTTCAGCCAGCGTCTACAGGAAACATAACGAGATTGTCACAAACTTAAAGGGCCAACCGAAGGTCTCATTTGCTGATGTGTTTTGTAGATTCCGAGCAACTGGAGTCCCCTGAGGTCTGTCTATATTGACACATCGTAGAATCTGAGAAATAACAAGAAGAGGACACTAAGTTCGGTGTCTTGACCGTCAACTCATGTAGATAGGGACAAACGATAGACCACCTGAAATCAGCTTCTTGTTGTCAGCATTCATTTCGTCCTCGGTGCATCTGAGTCCAGATAAATCTAGAGCTAGGAACAGGTTATGAATATCGAATGAGGTCAGGGAGTTTGTGTTGGTTGCTTATTCTCAGCGTATGCTCAATAAAGGGCTAACAAAATGTACCAAATTGATCCATCTGCGGACATAGCTAATTGAGGAGCTGCGAAATTATGGTCTGTGGAGACCATCAAAATGCACATAGACCATCAAATGGCAAACATATTTCAGGTTTTATCAAATGAATGTCACTGTACTGTTGCTCCCGAAGACATGTGAAACAGGAAGGGTGATCTGTATGTGTTCATTTTCCAAATGCGGGTATCATAAGAAGCTTTCATCTCCCTACAATTTTCCTTGTACAAGGCAACGGTGATTTCTCTTGTTCATCACCGAACGTGGCCCCAGTGGAGGTATATTGGATGTCTCTGATCGATCATTGATAATCACCGCGTCCAAGAATTGGATACTATTTGACGTGAATCATGGTTCTACTAATAAGATTGATGGCGAGATGTGCTTCATTCCTGCACATACCTTGACATGCCTTAGGACGTTTCAGGTTTGCATGTTGAGCGTGGTATATGCCTCCCATTCACGTCTGAACAAAGAACCAAAATCGCTCGTTCCAAGGCAGGTCGAGGAGGTTGATAGATTTCTGTGTCCTCTTGGTGGTTGTGAAAGCAATCTATCCAAATCAAAATCCTTGACACGCAGAAGAACGTGAGTTTTCTAGGCTGGCCAAGCTTACCATCATTGGTGGTAAACTTCCACCCGCGTGGAAACGTTATTTACAGATCTCAAGGGTTCGCCCTTCTCTTACAATTAACGTTGCCCTACGCCTTGAAGGGTTGGTTCTTTGCATGGGCTGATTGCAAGAACCTAGCTCATGCATTCATCTCTTACATCCTGTCGGGACCTAGGAGGATTGTATATTCATCACGTTACTTAAGGTGCATATCTTACCACTCTGCTGTAAAAAGAGAAACAGCCTTTCAATCCCACGCTCATTCACATGCGGAATAAGCGGTCTTCGAAAGGGCGTCAATTCGTCCTCCCTTGCCTCATAAACTCGGCAGAGAATAAGGGAAAAGTCGTCGACACCTCTCTGGGTAAAACTGTCTACTGGACATGGTCACGGGTTTGCCATCATCTAGATTCTGAGATACTGGAATATCATTCCACGAGGAGGCGCACGCCTGCCAGTACTTAGTCTAGTGAGGAGCCCTGCACTGCACATGCACATCTTACTGCTGTATTGGGTGGTGTCCGGGTATGAGTAAGATCTGGATCGATCTCGAGGTTCCCCATAAGCTGAGAGAGATCTGAGTTGAGTACCAGTCCAGTGAGAGAATCACCTGGATGTGAAGTGTCCTTCTCATTTATGAAGTGAGATATCTGTAGTCCGTCTTCAAGTAAGCTGTGTACTAGATCTTGAGTGGACGTCGTCTGCTGTTTGCTCAGAGATTGAAACGGAAGTATTTTCTCCGATTGAAGTTACAAGGCAGATCTGTATTTATAAGGAGCCAAAGCTGTGAAGTGCAGCCTAGAGTTTCAGAAATGGCTGAGGATAGAGAGTAAATTAGTTGTAGATTATGTAGCTTCACTCATTTAGCCAAAAACATGCTAGCGAGGATTCTTTTCGCTTTTCCCTCATAGTGGTTGCTTCTAGGGCGAGTGGCTGATTAGGAAAGGAGCGGTGCTGATTTGTTCTGGGGACTCCTAGCGTCATGGCTCCGGAGCCACTAGTTCAAAAAGAAAATCAGTCGGCACAGTGCTAGCAACGAGCACTGAATGTTGTTCCAGAAGTCAGGTAAAATCTATTGTATTTTTGCACATTCTTCTTCTGAGCTATGAATACAACTTGAATAAATTTTACATGGTTTCAGCCCACATGGAGGTGGGCTCCAGGAAAACTTCTAGATCAGTTGGAACTGGCACGACGAGGCGCTTTCTTTGTTATCCGGGCTGATTGATTGCTTGAATGCATCCCTAGCTCGTAATCAGAAACGCTTCGACAGGGACCGCCACAGCCAAAAGTCGAACGACGATGAGTCATGAGCTCGACAGAGCTCGACCCACCGCCGAACGAGTGGGTCCAGTTTCACATATTTGCCTGACAAAGTACCTTTTTCTCCCTCCTCATCTGACTGAACTCTCCTCCTCACCCACAAAACCAGCAAGCAAATCTGAAAGGACTAAAAGGACAATCCCAGTACCATATATTGCCCAGGATTATAAAACTCATGCCATCATCAGAGCACCAGCACGCAACCAAGTACCACGTACAAGGACGAAAAGTACCAGCTTTTGTACCCTTCGATTTTTTTTCCAAGTTAAAGGTGATTATGGGAGGCATGACCCGGCTACAAGGCTGGCCTACTTTCATCCAAAGGACTACCAAGTACATAAGTGGTACAGGATCCTTACTGCTTCATTGAGCGAGCCTAACAATTCATTTACGATCCATACTTGAGCTAAGCTAATAGAGCGTTGAACAGAGCACATGCAGATGCCCGCCCACCCACAGCTGAGAAAAACCAGCCAAAGGCAGAGGAGCATCTTAGGAGCTTTCGTACTGCTGCTAAGTATGTTCTTTTTGAAACAAAAGGTACATCATCTACACGTCAATGTGATCGAAGCACATAAATCAAATACAAGACGATGCAAACATGGCCATTTGTCCAACTTGGTAATCTTGGTTTCACTTCATGCTCTTGGCGAAGTAGGATGCACAGCTTTAATATTGTGATGGCAGAAATGGAAAATGGGTAATTGTTTGAACATGTCTTCGATTTGAAAGAACTTACCTTGTGTTCTTGTGGCGTTTTCATAGCAATTATGTAACATATCGAGTTATCGTTTATTCCATAGAGGCATAAATTGCAGTGTGAAAGAGATTTCCTATAGTATAACAAAAAAAAGAAAATACTATATCCAATGAGATCAAATTGTTAGATTAAAGCTAGTTTATAATAGTATTACAATGAAATAAATGTCATTTCCAATAAAAGTTTGTAGATAAAACAATATATATACTAAAAAATTAAATAATGACTGTCACATGTGCGATTGATTTCTCATGAATTGTTCATCTAGTGTTTTCAGTGAAAACAATTGAATTAAATGTTAAGAGATGAATCAAGTATTTAAGATATATTATACACTTATTTAAGACATATTTAAGAATATATTTTTGTAACTTGAAATCTAAGCTCTGGATTTTTATTTAAAAAAATAAATCAAATTTAATATCTCTAGCTAAATAATCTCAAAAGTTATTCTTATAATTTGTTTATCATTCCTTTGTATTTTTATGAGTTTTTATTCCACTTGCAACTCATATAAGACAATAGCTAATTATTCTTGAGAATAATTATAAAGCGTACTAAGTTTAATGGTACTGACAGTAACCTTGTAGTCTTAAAACAGGTTTTGTTCCAAAGAATGAACTAGTTCACGTAATGTATCCCTTCTTCTCCCGTATGAAATATGAAACACCCTAATGATATTATGGTAACCATACAGTCACACGAACCCATAAAACATAATTCGCTGTCATAAAAACTAGCATGTGACTAATAAATATGCAAATGGTGTAGCAAGAAGTTGAAGCAATGTTTATATTCTCAATTGTATCATGGTCTATGATATATTATTAAGATGCTTGAGGTAACTCTCATGAAAAGTTCTTTCCAGTGCTCAGGACCTTCCAGTTTGACCACGGCCTTAAGACCACTTTAATTCTTGTGGAATTAAAGTTCGTACAATTTCTCGGATTGCGAGAATTTGGGTACCGAAGTGCAATTTGTCTTGTCTCTAAGAGCGGTTCTAGCTAGATTCGGGGTTGGCGGAGGGGGCGCTTTGGGGATCTGCTGCTATAGTGGGCCTCAGTTGTCCCAACTATATTAAAAAATTGGCGAATCAGATATAACTTTGAAGTTATGTATATACTTAAATGATACATGGATTCAAACAGATCTTTAAGTGAACTCTCATGGAAATATCTTCTCCAATACTCATGACTTCCCAGTTTGACCATCGCCTTAAGATGCCCTTATTTTGGTGAGAATGGAGTTCGTATGACTCTCCAGATTGCGAGATTTTGGTCATCAAAGTACAATTTGTCTTCTCCCTAAGATTGGCTCTAGATAGATTCGGGGAGGGGGGAGGAGGCGCTTTTGGCCTCTGCTGTCTAATGTGGGCCTCAGTTGTCCGAAGTGTACTGAGAAAATGACGAATCAGATTTAAGAGTAACTGTGATGAGAAATCACAAACATGTTGAAGGCGCTTCAGTTCTTGGCGCTAAAGCTGGAGAAGTCTGTCCAGAGGAGGTTAACTACGAATAAACGCAAGGTAACGTGTCTTGTAGAAATCAGTTTCTCAAATCTGGGCAACCTACGAGAGAGGTTGTCAGCTTTCATAAAGCTTCCTGAGGTTATTTTGGACAATGAGTGAGCTCACCCATTGGACTGTTCCATGCACTCCAACTGTCATTTACTCGCCCAATAGCGTTGTGGCATTGAAAGCTGATCACCATGGTAAACCGAGGTATTTGGCCACGGGTATTTGAACCCGCCGCTTCTTCCACCTTATTGCAATTGCTCTTCTCACCGATCGGCAATCCCAACGCAGTCAGCTCTCTGGTGCAAATACTAGCTCAGCTCATCGACTCAGTTCTCAAGACGACTGGCTCCGTTGTAGTGGACAAAGAGATACAGCGTACTCTAGTGTCGTAACTCTCCTTCTCTTCTCGTGTAGAATCAATTCATGCTTGCAAGACCTTCGACAACACAGTGCAGCGAGTGATATCATTCCGGCAAAAGTGAACGACTTCGACGGAGTGATTCACCAGCTCCTGGTAAAGTTTCCAGCCGTCAGTCCACATCTTCTGATTACGGGGCGTCACATTGAATCGAGATTTGAATGGGGAGTCTTCTGGGCTGGGATGCACACGTTTGCAATCAGATATGTTATTGAGAATTATCATTTTTCCACATAACATACTGGTAGAGATATACTGAAGATCTTACTCTAGCTCGACTTTCGTCTCGAACGTCGAATCAACGAGGCGTCTTTCTATTTCAGTGTAGTGTTTTCTCCGCCAGTGAAGAAGTCGATAATATCGATTCAGAAGTCTGTAGCTGTAGTCAAACAAAGCACTCGCTGTTTTCATGAATGGTCAATATTACGTCAGTCTGCATGATGTCTTGAAGCGTCCGGTAGTGCACTTGAGCTTGTAATTTCGAGCTCAGCGAGCATGGTTCCAATTCTGATATTGTATCGTGTGCGAATTCACAGAAATTCCTAGTTTCGGAAGTTGGCTGATAGCTGATTCCAGTTCGTGGGGAGGCGACTTTCAGAAGACTTTTCGTGATTGCAAAGATAGCGTCCAGCAATTTCCATCCTTCTTTACGGCATCAGTGGGACATATGCAACTCTCAAGCCGCTGAGGCAGAATCGAAGGCTGGTCGCTCCCAAACTCATGGGTTGACATCACCGTACGAGGTGCTCCAGCTCCAGGGTCCAACAGCGACTGAATCTCCAACCTCACTCAGGGACTGCTTTGGTCTACGATCGAAGATCTCCGGCTCCGTGATCCAGGTTGCTGCTGCAAGCTGCGCACAGACGAGCGGGACTGAATCTCAGAGCCCACAGCTGCAGGAAAGACCTCCTCACAGATCAGAGAAAGTCGAGAGGAAATGGCGAAGGAGAACGGAGTTGAGGATCTGGAGAAGTCATGCCTGGAGAATCAGATCGTGCTACCTTTACTGGGCAACAGCGCCAACAATCACAAGAAGCTGTTGGAGAAACGAGCCAAGTCGTTCACCAGCAGAAGTTCGTGCTCCATGCCGTCTGGAGAAATCTGCAGCAAAGAGGGCGACGCTGAAGTCGCGAAGGAGGTGAAGGATCGCGGCTCAGTATGGGCACAACTGTTTCTCGGGTTTTCTGAAGTGGTATTCGGAACGAAGCTTTGTTTGCTGCTCCTTTCCATACCCTTCACATTCATAGCAGTGCATTTGGAACTTGGGCGTGGGTATATTTTTGTCTCGAGCTTGTTGGCCATCGCTCCGTTGGCCGAGAGACTTGGATATGTCACGGAGCAGCTGGCATTCTACACCGGCCCCACGATGGGCGGCCTTCTGAATGCCACCTTCGGGAATGCGACGGAGATGATTATTTCCATCTTCGCACTCCGCCAAAACTTAATTCGCGTTGTCCAGCTCTCGCTTCTGGGCTCCATCCTCTCGAATATGCTTCTAGTCCTCGGCTGCGCTTTCTTCTGCGGTGGGCTGTGCCATCGCAACGAGGACCAAAGGTTCAACCAGACAGCTGCTCTCGTGAGCTCCAGCTTGTTGCTCATGGCCGTCATGGGCCTGCTCTTCCCTGCTGTGCTGCACGCCACCCACACTGAGCTCCACAACTTCACGTCGGAAATCTCCCTCTCCAGATTCATCAGCGTCGTTATGCTCGTGGCGTATGCGTGCTACCTCTTCTTCCAGCTCAAGAGCCACAGGCAGTTGTACGAAGAGGAACCTGCGGACGGGGAGGAGGACGAGGATGAAGAAGAGTCGGTCCTCGGCTACTGGAATGCCATATTCTGGCTCGGAGTCATCACCATCGTCATCTCCGTGCTCTCCGAATTCCTCGTCGACGCCATCGAGGGAACGGCGGAAACGTGGAACATCCCCGTGGCATTCATCAGCGTGGTCATCCTGCCTCTGGTGGGTAATGCAGCGGAGCACGGAAGTGCCATAGTTTTCGCCATGAAGGATAAATTGGACATCAGTCTCGGAGTGGCCATCGGATCCTCGACCCAGATCTCGATGTTCGTCATCCCGTTCTGTGTGGTGGTGGGCTGGGCCATGGGCAAGGACATGGACTTGGATTTTGAGATTTTCGAGACTGCCACATTATTCATCACGGTTCTGGTCGTCGCGTTTCTCGTGCAAGATGGCCGAGCGAATTACTTTAAGGGCTTGATGTTGATTTTATGCTACTTCATCGTGGGTGCCAGCTTCTTCGGTCATATGGACCTGCCTGACATTCCTGGCGTCAATTCCGCCAAACACTTCTACTCCGACGCGCTTCGTCTGTTCTCCCATGAACTCCACCACTCCGCCACGCCCTCCACTTAATCTGAATGGCGCGACGCTTCTGCGACAGGACCGGCCTTCTGCAACTGACTAAATTGCAACAACCGAAGCCCGAATTGCAGAGCGTTGCAGATCGCAGATTGGCTCAGAAGGTTCCCCCGCATTGCCTACTCCATCAGCTCGTGCTGCCTGCAGGTTACATGTGCGGAGGAATGGACGGAGTCTCAAACCGGCGCCCGCTTCCCACGGCTCTGACCGTAATCGAAATTGTTTCACAGTAAATAAGTTCGTGCTCCCGTGTGTATATTTGTGTTTCTGTCTCTCTACTCGGACCATTTCCGAGTGACTGCAACCTGATCTGCAACCTGGGCGCTTCACCGATCAGCATCAGCAACAGCAACAGCAACCGGGAAGCAGTTTCGAGGCAGATTTGTGAGAGTAGTTGGTTATGTCAAATTATAGAGCGAGGCAGGACTCGGAATTCCACCGAGCTCATATTGTTTTCCAGTTCCAATCTGTCGGTTCGGGAATCTAAAGCATCTCTTTGCAACGGATTCGTTCACGTGAGATCGTCGAGCCGCACAACACAATTTGGACCGTAAGATTGAAGAAATTGATGGTAGGAGGCAGTTGCATAATAACGAGCCACCCAAGCATGGAGTCAGCTGGCTCGCAGCAAATTTCTGGCCGGTGACCTTTTCATGGATAAATCATGTTGACTTAGATAAATAGACAATGAGCAGAAAGGGAGAGAATTCTTTCACTGGGCGATGACGGAACGTGATCTTCTGTAGCTCGTTTTTATATATAAAGTGTGCTTGATATTTTCCAGTATATTCGGACCATTCATTCCTCCTCCTTGTGATTCTGAAAACTTTGTTCCCTGCATCATTGAGGTCTTGTTGAATCTGGCTTCTCTTTCCAATCAGCTGGTCACATGTTCGTTGTCCAACTCAGAACCTGCAGCTCCTCGCCAATTTTATATCTTGGCGTGTTATGCTGATTATATAGTACATCGTTCGAACATGGTCAGGACCATTACAGCCACGGTGATTCTTACAGATTCATGCGACCCGATCAGTGAACTATTTTATAGCATGAAGTATACGCTTCAGCTAGATCTCGTGTCCCTGACCTTATCAAGTACCAGATGTTTTTTTTTTAAGTTCCAACGCTTGAATTTGATAGCGGTGATCTCGTCAGAAACATGCACCTCTTGTGCTGTAGACGGCAGTGATTCCTCTACCCAGCCTTGCTTTAGCTTCCCTGGCCTTTTGCGAGGGCCAAATCTTGAGGCCTTCAGCGCTTGTAAATCGACAGCGCGATTGGGAGGGGAAGAGAATTCGCAGGGTCGATACTGCTAATGCTTGATTGAGGATTCCCCGGAGAGGGGAATCCTCAATCAAGCAAAAAATGTCAGTCTGAATTGTCCTGACAAAGATCGACAATGGATCGGATGTCTTTACACTAATGGCTGTGGCTCGAAGAATTTTCTAGCCACAGACGCACGCTTTCCAGAATATCTTCCGAAAATCTGCTATGCTTCATGAACATCCCTATTCCTGTTCGCTGAAATCATGAAAGTTCTGACACTTTACGAACTGCAGTCTGAACCATTTCCTACGACAGATGAGATATCCACGTAAAAGACAGCCAGCTCGTGGGTCTTGTGGTGCCAGCTCGCTACCATTCGACCACGGCACACCATACACCAATAACTGATGCATCATCCTTCCTGAATGTTGCATCTGAAGTTCCTGTTCGAATTGTGAAATTAATGTCTGTAGTTAGAGAATCCCTGTTTCAACCCCGTCGTGAGCTCCTATGACCTGAACACCACGCTATCCACCTCAATTGCACTCAAATGATGATGTGAATGGAGGTCACGAGACATCCACAGTACACGGTAAATTCTAGGTGCTATTTATCTACTAAATTGAAACATCTAGTAGCTACGACCGGAAGATTTGTAGAAATATATAGCGAATGACGTCACAATCATTACATCTATATGTAGAGGTCTGAACTCGTTGAAACTCCATTATTCACTGCAATATAATAGGTCTATGATATATCCACAATATCAGAACTGTACGTAAAGTTTACAATATCATGATTCACATTTGAAATAATTTTATTAAAAACTGAAGAACAGTATAGGTCTTGCAATTCTCTTTAGACTGTATCCATTAGAAACCCGGGAAACCTAGAAGTATAGGAAATTGAATGGGAAGACCCCATCAAGTCTCGTACAGGGACGAAACAGAATCTGTTTACAGAATTCGGTTAGAAAACAGAATCTAGTTTTCAGAGTGGTCGACTAAGCTAGAGTCGAGACGCTTGGCACACTGGAGACACGCAGTGAGTCCGGTTTCCAGACATCAGGGATTAAAATAATGGTCACCATTCGACTTTGTGCTTTGTCAGGAAACTTCGCTCTTCGAAAAGCTGAAGATGAAATCAAGTACGTCATGTGGCTGCTGAACGCGCTGCTGCATACGGTAAGCAAGAACATGTACAGCACGTGGCAGGAGAATCCTGGTCAAAGAACTGTTCGAAGACATCCTCCTTCCATTGGAATAGAACGAGGGGCCAAGTACTACAGCGAAAAGGATGGAGAGATCCCTTCGGTGCAGCAGAGATAGCTCCGATCGTGCCTTTGTCACGTAGAGAACTGTTTCCTTGCGAGTCTGAACACGGTACATGATGAGGTGGCACTTTCTTCCGAACTTTGGCTCTGGTTTTGGTGACAAGCAGGTCTCGGATTTTTGTCACAACAGGGAACATCTTATCGCACTTCGCTTTCCACGGGAGCAAGATTGCTCATAACCATTTTGTATTGAGCCAGTCCATGCTCAAAGTGCAGAGCGTTATTCGCGTGACTTTATGTTGGATATCGCTGGAGAGTTCTTGGGTTTGAATCAGGTTCTCACTGAATATGATTTGCAAACTTCTTCTTTCATATTAAGGAGCCTGGTAACTAACCAAAAAATTCTAAAATAGCAATCCTTAAAAGCGACGTGAAACATTTGAAATATACGTAAAAGGAAAACTTGAAGACAGCAAGCGAATGGTAAACTTATCAGTCACTCGAAAAGAGTGAAAAATTATAGTATAATGGAAAGTATGTATTAACGGGTAATACCTGAAGTTTATACGTTTCATTAGATCAAATTAAACTTTTCATTGAAATGATAAAAAATTATGCACCCAGAAGTTGACTTGACTTGACAGTACTCTACTGATCGAATGTTCCAAAGTCGGCATCCGAAAATGACAAACTTAGAGAAGGTCAAGTAATATAGGTCTTCCTTTTTGCCCTACATGGATGAAACGGAATGGCTCACATGGTCTTGGACCCCAATAGCATCTTACTGGAAAATATTTCTTACTGCATTAAAGTGAAAACCTCAGTTACTGTCGACTTTGTATCTGCAACTTTCCAGTACTTGTTTAACAATTGAAAGAAATGGTGAATCTGCCAATTTTTTTCCTAGCTCTTTTTTTGAGCTCTTGAATGCTTTATCCCAAGACAAAAATGTGGCGTGGTGAAGTATTGATTCTAGTGATTTGTAGGAATTATTTATCTGCAGGTGGTAACTCTTTTGTCTCGCTGCTTTGATTTACCTTGATTCACTTGTGTTGGATATATCCAACACAAGTGAGGTTGCAATTAGGGACAGTGAAAGTCTACAAGAAATTCTTTGGTGTGGTTTATCTGAATTGAGATATTCTGAAATTTTTTCCTCATAATTGAATATAATATGAATAGATTTCATGTGAAATATTATTTAGGTAATGTTTATTTAGTATATTTTTGTTCAACAGAAGATAAAATTTGAAATGATATTAATTGACCTAAGATGATTTCAATTTATATAATCATTTGTTGCAATTTATAGTTATAATGTATCTGATTATTTGATACTTGCAATTACAACTTCATCATTTGAACAAAACAAAAAAAATGAGTGTTTGATGGTAATGAAATATCCTTGATTTATTGTGTGAGTTGTAATCATTGTTCTTTAGTTTTCTCATTATACGTTATTTGGCTGTCTCAGATTATCAAAACTCAAGCACGCAAAGTTTGTGATATACAAGAACTAGACCTTTCATTCCTATTTAAACTTATGTATCAACATCAAAACAACATGAGTTGTTTTGTTACAGCATATTGTTTACAGCATTTTGTTTTGTCATTAGTTTTGTTAGAGCTTGCAACTCTGATTGTATGTACATTATTTTTTAGCACTTAATTGTTTTATGATTTTTCACTCATGCCCAACTAAAAGGAGCCAAAGTTTCAAGTTGATATCAAATACAAGTTTTAATCTCTTCAAAAGTCCAATTTTTTTTCAAAAGCATAAAATAAATCATGCAATATATATTCTACATGAAAAAAATTTTAATAAGTTTGAATTTTTTAAAGATAGAGATAATTACCAAAAAAATATTGTATTCCAATTTTTAAATGATAATAATAAATAAAAATTTTAAATTTTTTTTATTAAAACATATTATAACAACAATAATAAATTAATAATCAAAATTTTTTGAAAAAATCACAATGATCAAATTTACGTTGCAAATGTTGAAAATAAATCAAAATTTATACTTTCAAATTCTAAATTGAATGTTACAATGTAAATAATGGATTTAAAAATTTTTCATTTATATGATACATTGACCACATTAACCATGTTAACCACATTTGTGCTGATATATATTCATAACCTCTTTTAAGTATATTTTCTTCTCATATATGGTGCAATATATTTTGCTTCATGTACAATAAGATAAAAAAAACGATGTTATGTGATACAAGATTAGGCTTTTTGCTTCTAACTTAATATTTAAGTATTATAGATGCCCCAAGAGATAATTTTCAAAGCAAGCCTTAACCAGTTGGTTCTTTACGGCTTAATGGAGTATTCTCTTTTCTTTCAATCCACTTGGTCTATTCCCATGCACTATTTTCTAACAGTAAAGATTGTTAAAATAATCTGCAGGAACTGTCTATTAACCATGTAGTCACAGCGCCAGAAGGTACAACCTTCTGATATTTACTCTTCGTAATCGGGTTAAACGCCGACAACTAAGCATGGGTAAAAAACATGAGTACTTGGTTGTTCCCCCTCGTTGTATGAGTACAAAACATGAAATTTACATGATCTTACCTCCATTTAAGAAGAATTTGGCCGCTGCACTTTACATACATCCAGACACTCAATCTGAACGACGTTCTCAAAAAGTATGATCAGCACTCCGCCAGATGCTGAATGATAGCAAAGGACGGGACATGAACCCCGCCCATACTACCCACCTGTATTTATCTATGCAAGACAAAGTAGGCATACATGTGAGCGCAGATTATCAGTTACTTTGTTAGGTTAGAGATTCTTAGCCATCATTTCCCGCCTGAAAGACAAATGAAAATGATCTCACTTTTGAGAATAAATAACAAAATCCTCTTTCAAAGTTCGTAATATCTTCATTTGTGATGATCACAAAGAATAAACCCCCATATATAAATTTAAGTGCCAACAAAAAACTAAAGCAGTCGGGATAATTCATTGTCCCACTTGAAGCGAACACTAACCCTTTCTCTTTTCATACTCATAAGGCAGTTCAGCGTGATGTACGACTTGATGGGAGGACTCGTATATGACGGGCCTTTTTGTCATTTCACTTTGTGCCCTTCAGCGTGATTTGCTAGAGATATAGCCAAAAGAAAGATGAATTCGGTAGATGAGCTTCAAAAAATAAAGATATCGACGACATTCCGATAGGCTTCAGCGCTTTCGAACGGGACAGATGTACTACGTACACT